GCATGGAATTCTACAGCTGTAGCCCATGTCATGCAGACGTCTGTATGTGGTGGTTCTTGATGCACTGACACCAGCCTCAGTCCACTCCTTATGAAGCTCCCCCAGATTTCTGAATCGCCCTTGCTTGACAATCCTCTCAAGGCTGCGGTCATCCCTGTCACTTTTGCACCTTTTCCGGCCACATTCTTCCCTTCTTCTTAACACTCTGTTAATATACTTTGATACTGCGTTCTGTGAGCATCCAGCTTCTTTTGCAATTGCCTTTTGAGACTTTTCCTCCTTATGGAGGGTGTCAATGATGGTCGTCTGCACAACCGTCAAGTCAGCAGTCTTCCCCATGATTCTGAAGCCTACTAAGCCAGACTGAGACAATTTCAAGGCTGAGGAAACCTTTGCAGGTGTTTTGCATTAATTAGCTGACTAGATTGGGACACAGGGAGCCTACAATGTTGAACTTTGTCATGATATTCTAATTTTGTGGAATACTGGATTTGGGTTTTTTTTTGTCTTTAATCCATAATCATCAAAATTGAAACAAATAAAGGCTTGAAATATTTCACTTTGTGTGTAGTGAACTAATATAACATACAAGTTTCACTTTTTGAAACAAATTATTGAAATAAATGGACTTTTCCTCTATTCAAATTTTTTGGCACATACCTGTATTACTATATGCAGTACATCTAATCAGCCTCACATCACCTCTTTACATCTAAACATGAATATGTTGTTATACAATCTGTTCATATATATTTAAATCATATTTTAATTTCATTTCATAGCTGAGCTTCTTTACCATCTCTCCACGGACCCCCTGCTAACTTCACTAACTAATCATTGCTAAGGACTTTTTAAGCTACAGTAGGTCCAGGTTTACATGTACTGACCAAAATGAACCACCAGGCGGCGCACTGGATCCACAATGCATCTTTAACAGACAAGCTGTCTGCTTAATGGAGAGAGTTCTTGTCCCCAGAGTTGAGACTTTCGGGCTGTGTCCCAGAAGCAGCCAGAAAAGATATCTAATTAGTTCTCATGTATTGTTTTCACATGACATTAATAATAAATAATAATAAGGGTTTATTAGTATTATGCTCATCAAAACTAGAGATTCCAACATGCTGGAAAAAGTCACACACTGTAATGTGCAAAGTAGTAAACTAATGATTATTTTCATTACTAATTCATCTCACAATCATGTTCTCCACTGATTGTTTTCTTTATTAACTATTTATCTGTTTGATTTTAAAATATTAAAAATGTTTTAAATGTAAAAAATAGTGAAAATACCAATTTTCTAAAGCCAAAGGTGCTGCTTGAAAAATCCTCAAACAATTATTATTTTGTCATGCTAATTAATTTTCTGTCAATCGACTAAACTATGATACAAGGGTATTAAATATATCAAGTTGTGTAAGTAGCCTACGCACATGCAAATGAATTAAATAAGGTTACAAAAGCAAATATGATCATAAAAAGTAAAATAATTTTCACCTGATCTTGAAATAAAAATGTTTGATTTCAGTTTTCAGCGTTGACTGATCACCGTGCTCACACATCTAAAAACTCTCTATTTGAGCATATTAGAAAACAGTGTCACACAGACTTGTCATCTGTAATTCAGAGTTTACTTGTGGTCCTTTGCCACATGTTGTTGCTCTGCAGTTTTAAGGAACAATAATGATTTCCTTTTTCTTCTC